AAAAAAAAATTTAACTTTAAATAATATCATAGAATCATTATAATAAATAGTATATTAGAAATAGCTAAAAGGAAAGAATGTTGAAAGTGTGTTGTTAGAGGAGTATTTATGTATTAGTAAAGTAGTGGACAGTAATAGAAAAAAAATAGTTTTAAAAAAAAGATAGTTGTCAGGAAAATAGTAATTGTTGGGAAAGTAATTGTTAAATATATATAAATAGTTATATCAGAGATGAATAGTTGTTAAGAAATTTATTTTTGGATAATTAGTCATCAGATAAGTAGTTTGTTGGAAGGGATTGTTTGAGAAATGGGTTGTTAGAAAACAGTAGTTGCCAGAAAATTGTGATGAGCGAACCTAATTATATATCAAACCCAAACATATTTGTAAACATTCAGACCAAACCCAAACTAAACTCAAAGTCATGTTTGAGCTTGATTTGGGTTTGATTATTGTGAGTTTGGGTTTGATTTGGATTTGAAGATAATCAAAATTTCAAGTTTGGTTCAGATTTGAGTTCAAGTTTGACCAAACCCAAACCAAACCTGAATCAAACATTGAAGCCTACAAGAGGGTTATAAAATATGCAAATTTTATATTAATTACTTTAATTTTTGTAATTGTCAAATGACTAACTCTGGGACCCTTGAAAATAGTCAATTGACAACCCCAGGGGGTTATATTTACATAATAAGTGGTAGCCCCCTTAAACATAATTGGCTGCTTAGAATATTCTAGATTGCAGATTAGTTGGTGCTACTAGGATAGATGCATTATCACTAGAGTTATATTTTCGTGTAATTTTGCGAGTTTCAAGCCTTTTTACTAATTACATGAAAACCGTTTTACAAAAACCTACACAAAATTACGTAATTTTACAACCCTTATCACCAGTCTAAAAAAATTTCAACTACCAGCGTTAGAGTTAGTGTTTAGGTATTTTTATGTTACACCTTATCTTTAATTTATTTGATCAGATAGCAAAATTTTTTAGGTTGGTGACGTGGGTTAATGGGTCAACGTGAAAATTGTCTGTCTACAGATAACGTAGAACGCTGCATTCAAGGCCCGGGTAGATGTCAATACCGTCGCGCGACTTATATCCGGCATAACACGTAATATCCAACAAAGCAGATCTATGCTTAAAGATTGGTTCAAATTGCCCCCTTGAATTGTATCCTCCTCTTCACACAATTTTGTTTATCATAGTTATACTTGATACACCATATCACACCATTTGTATCTCACATAAAAACTCCGAGTAGAGCATTGTTTGTAACAGATTATAGCTGTTTTTATAAATTCTGAAAAAAATTTTTGATAACTGAATTGACAAGTTGCCAACATAAGCCGAAATGAAAACTTTTCTATTTATTCCTATTTAAAGCAGTATAGTCAGGTTAATAAATTTAGTAACGTATGATAATAAGCGTTTATTATACTCACGCGTATACAGTCAAACCCCTCTATAGTCACACCTTCGGGATACAAAAAACCGTGATTGTAAAG